CAGACTAGAAAGCTGACCCCCTACCACAAATATAAGATGCACATAATGCTGTATATACTTGCGTTTAGTAAGAAATCAAAATTGGTTATTTTTTCACTTCCTAAAATGTTTCTACTTTAAAGGTACCTATTGTTTTTGATTACTAAACGCACAATATTGTTAACAGACATTGAGTTATATATACTACGTACTAGAGAAGCCATTCCGAACATTGACTATGTTCAACTGAACTGTAGTGCAATCCATACAAACTAAATATTGCGTAAATTGAAGATTTGTGAATTCCATAAAATAATTAATATTACATTTTATTTAGAAATATGTTTGTTTAGATTAAATTAAAATATTTTATATTAAATTCTTATATTTATTTGAATGGTTTCTCTAGTACGTAGTACATATAACTCAATGTTAACAGATATAATACTCTAATAACAAAAATAATGTTGAATAAATCTAAAAAAAAAAAATATTTTGATGATTTTGATTTCTGCTTTCCTTCCTTAGTAAAGCACGATCGTGCGTTATATCGCAGCTGGAGTACGCTGGCTGCGATGGAAATTTTCTAATTATATTTCCCAGACACATTAGACCTCACAAATAAGTCTACAATTACATAGAAAAAAAAATTCTTTTTGTCTTTCTAAAAGAATTATTTAATAGTTTTTAATTGTTACTGTAGAACAACGACATCTTTTAATCATTTAAGAAACAGAAAGAAACTTAGATCCATAACACTTTGAAGAGTTTCAAGATTGCATAATAGATGGCGTTATATGATTGTAGTCGACCTAGCGCAAGCACAGACAAATATGATGCTTACGCATGGTACCTCTATGTACTTTTTGTAGCGTGACCCAGCGTGACCAGATTTAGTAGGTATATTTCTACTTTTTTAGTAGAATTGAGCTCTTTGGTAATACATATTGGTAGATAAGATAAGATGGTCATTTTATTGTTTAACTGGTCTAAAGTCTGTCCATTTCGTCATTGAACATAGCAATGCAATAAAATGCCTTAAATATTTTTGTGATTTTTGGTAATTTTTGTAGGTTTCTATATTTTTAGTAGAAAGTTTTATTTATTGTTGGTTCCTCTGTTCATCATAGTAGTTTTTAGGGTGCCGTAACTAAAGGGTAACTAACGGGACCCTATTACTAAGCCTCCGTTGTCCGTCCGTCCGTCCATCCATCTGTCAGTCAGCAAGCTGCATCTCATAATCCATAATAGGAAGACAGTTAAAATTTTACAGAATGTGTACTTCTGTTGCCGTTATAACAACAAATAATAAAAATTAAAATTAATTTAAAATTAAAAGGAGCTCCCCTACTAGAAACGTGTGTTAGGATGGTACGGAACCCTACATGCGTCAACTAAAGTCCGACTTACAGTTGGTCAGTTTTTCAAATACATTCAAGGGATTCCCTTTCACGTCCCAGTTTGTTATTATACTCTATGCTTTCATGGAGTTTTACGAACTTTGTATTTACTGAACAGCATATACCGCTACAGCTAATGTGTATTTTGCTTCATATTTACTTCAGTACTCATTGCAAAGCTTATAATTGCTAAGAGTGATATTTTTTTATAGGATAAGGGTGACAAACGAGCACACAGTCTACCTGATGATAAGTGGTCGCTGTGGCCTATAGACTTCTATATCGATCCTCGATTATGAATCAAAATTCAGATGCATTGTCACCCGTGAAGACTTAGATGGAAAGCCTCTAAAGAGGATCTCCGGTTCTCTACAATCACCATACGAAACACGGCAGCGTTAAGCTGCTATTTAACGCTGGTATTCTGTGAGAGCGTGGTCCTTCCCCGGTCAAGCCAACCCATTCGTGCTACTACTATACCAATAGTATAGCTGCAGCATGGCTCTACCAGGTAAACACAGTTTGTATATATATGTTTGTCTGTTTTTACTGCCGCTTTTTCGTTCCATTTAGTTTCAAATCACAACGATTCTAAACAAGTTTTCACTTCAAATATGTGGTCAGGTTCACCGGTACTTACCATAAATGCAGATTTTAATCATACAAAAATGTACATTTGTGACTTACATATTATTTTCTTTTCCAGTTTTTATTATTGAATATAATTTGCTCATTTGATTTGTTGATATTTAACTGTGTTTTGATGCCGCAACCTTCGATCAACAATACCAACTAGATGTCGGGTCGGCGCAAAAAATATGTCCCAGCAAATAAGAGCGCACTGTAGACGTGAGCGCTTATCTCATTTAGTTGACTCGAAACACAGCCAATGTAAACACGTTTCACAATGCCGCAATGTTTATTTAAAAGTGGCAGGAATAATGCACGAAAAAGCAATTTAACGGCCCTAGAGCCTTACTTTCGGTAAGATCATGTAGAATAAGTTATATATTAAGCTCTAAACTAACAAATAATATAATATTTTAAACAAAATTATGGATTATAAAGCACCCCTACAAATGATTTGTCAACGTTGAACAGAAGTATGCATGGAGTAAATTTGTATTGTAATCATTTTTAGTAATTTGTTACCAGAACTTTAAATAATGGTAATTGGTACTTTTGTCTCTGTTGGTGTCATCAAAATTAAATCAAAACGACAATTGTACAACAAACACAACTTATTTAAAGGAAATTAATTCATGTATAAGCAGAAAGGAAAAATCATTAATGTTGAATCGTTGTAAATATTTTGATTTTTGATTTATTGATTGCACTGAAATTTACTTCTTTTATAAATATTTTAAAGATAAATATATATATATATATATATATATATATATATATATATATATATATATATATATATGTGGAATTTAGTGATATTTTGGTTTGTAACATCTAGCTATCAAGACACCTTTGTCAGCCCCTGACATTACATACATTTGAAAAACAGAAAGAGTATTTATAGTTTATTACTTTTAGTTTACGACACATAAAAACACTGATAAATTAAATAATCATATTATACGCCAAACCTTAAATTAATAAGTATTTTTTTATTAATTTTTTATTTATTATTCTTTATTGCACACCAACACAAAGAAGCGCGCAATGGGGGGTCTTATTACTAACAGCAATTTCTTCGAGACAACCAATGAATCGACAGGATTACACGAAGATAACAGGGGTAGGGCAAATTGATTTGATAAAAAAGAATACACATATTCATATATGTATATACTACAAACATATATACATACAAAAACTAAATATATATATATATATATTGAATGATCTAATTAAATCCAATATTTATACTATATACTATATTATATTTAATGGCTAGTGTGGAAAGTATGTATACTAACACAGATAAATGCCCCAAACATAAATAATTTTAACTAAACTTATTGTCATAATATAAATTATTTTAGTGTTCAACGCAACTCCATAACTAAACTCCTGTAACACATTTCGAAGAAGCAAACAGAAACGAATCAAAACGATGTAGCTTGCAAGGCAATAAAGGGGAAAAGTACTTTAATTTGTTATTACTAAATGTTGATTTCACACAAAATGTTATTTAACCTATGTCTTTTCATTTCCAAGTGACAGGAGTAATGCATTGATTTGTTCCTTTTTTGTAACTAATGATCGTAAGATTTATGACTTTATTACTAAAAACATGGTAAACAACCTTATTAACCGTAATTGGGTTGAACATAAAACTGTATTAATTTTTTGTCTCAATTTTTTAGTAAACAAATGTATCTGTATAAGTATATATTCACGCGGACAGCATTTAGCTATAATTTTGTACGTGACCCGTTATCTAGTTAGTATTATTGATCGAAGGCCGCAACTAATAATCCGGCATTCATAAATTAATGTTTTATGAGTATTATGAATGGGGCCACCAAATTGCAAGCAATTACAATAATGATAAGTGGTATGCAAAATAAATTATAAAAACTATAAACACTTTTTATGCTGTCGCAAATGTTTTAGTAGATATAATTGTATTGCGTAGAAAATGGTTTTGGTCAGTAGAATTTGGTAGATTTTTGTTTCCTGTTTAGTAGATTTGTGAAATAAAATCTGGTCACGCTGACTGCACAGAGTACGATTGGTACAAAGTACAAATACATTTATTTATACCAAATATATTATAAATAAAGTTTTAAATGCATTTTATTTATATCTTTGATTTAAACCAAATTTAAATTCAAAGCTGACTCTTTGGGACTAGCTGGCAGAGAGTATATAACTGGGTAGTTGACTCTGACTGGACGCTGGACAGAACAATTTTAGCAATAAACTACTAATATATTTTACTCACAGAACACATACCCTTAGGCGGGATTTTACTATAAAAATGGACTCCTAATCTGCCGTCTGTATGTGTAGATACCATACCACTACTCTCTTACCTATTTCTGCCAATAAGTAGCAGTGCTTACATTAACAACTTACATTTTATTCATTCATCTTTGCTTTATACATATGAAGGCAAATAACAATTACAGCGAGAGTAAAGTAACTGTCGTAAAATTATTATTTATTATTTTAAACTTTGTATTTACACACACTTAGAATTAACTTGTTTATATTCTAAACGTTGTTGACAAAATGCCCCTAGGTAACATAATAAAAGTAATCTGAAGTTGCTCTTCTATGAAATTCAGATTTTAAGGCAGTTAAGTAGATACAAAATTAATTACGTTTAAATGTGGTTAAAATCTTATACTACATTTTTCAAACGTAGGTAAACTCAAATAAAATACAGCAATGCCTTGCGTTATTCCTATAATGCTGCTAACTTAAGGAGTCAGTTTAACGATTCTCTTTAGAATGTAATGTTTATGTATCTTTAAATTTGTCGTGTTCTCGATAACCGGGTCAGAATGATGTCATAGTCAATAGTCATACCAAGCTTATTTTAAATGTGACGTAGTCTACCTATTTCCACGCCGTGTCACGGACTAGGTAGCACTGTGCTCTGGAAAAACGAGTGTTTTATAGTTTTCAGTGATTTAAGTAACAGAAAATAACAAGAAAATGTCGTATTATCAACACAGAACGGCCGGTGAGTTTTAGAGATTATGACACAATAAGAATTTCCTATTTTATTTATTGATTTTATACACGGAACAGAATTTGTTAAATTCTCTTTCAATATTTGTTTAATTTCTTTCTCTTACACAATAACAGCATACTTACGGCACAATTTCGATGCATTTAAGTACCTTTTACATTAAGTAATTTTATTTACGGAAGAACAAATTTATTAAATATTTTATTATACAAAAATACAGTAAAAATTTATTAAAACACAAGTTAGAGTATGTATGAAAACCTATGAAATACTGAAAAATGAGAAACAGCTGTTTTTGAGTGATGTCATCCATATGACGTTTAGTTGCAACTTGCAAGCGTCGTTAACAAGTATAGAGTTCTGTAATCTGTCTATTGATCGCAAAAATTAATTTTATTCTAATAGATAGTTAAGTTGTTAAAAGTATTTAGAGTCAAGTAACATTAGTTTATGGCTTAATAATTAAATGGATTATCTATTTACTTCAGTATTTTAACCTGTTACATGCGGGATGCGGGCGTTTTTTTTTTTACAAAAAGTACCTGGGTGACCGCACTTCGTTCGGCCTTATACAAATAAAATTATAGATTATTAAACTTGGAATTTAAAACATTATTTAAATAAAAAATTACATCGAAATCAATAGAGAGCCGTTTCCGAGAAATAAATTACATATTATTTACATAACCTATACAAGAATACTACACTAAAAGTATACAGGATTTAGCATAAAATTCAGTCTAAGCATGTAAATGTCCACTGCTGAACATAGCCCACCATAGATTGTATCATAGGTATTTTGCCATAGTTGTCACGTTTGGTAGGCGGGTCGGCAACCGCAGTTTTTTATAACTTTGATTTGTTATCAGGAAGATGCTGCTGATGTTCCTCTGTCGCCTGTTTACACACACGTGGCGATATAGGGTTGTGAATATTCTTACACCGCCACTACACGGTTGAACATAAGATCATCATGTCTTTTTTAGGGTTCCGTAACCGAAGGGTAACCAACGGGACCCTATTACTAAGCCTTCGCTGTCCGTCCGTCTGTCTGTCAGCGGGCTGTATCTCATGATCCGTAATAGGTAGACAGTTGAAATTTTCATAAAATGTGTATTTCTGTTGCCGCTATAACAACAAATAATAAAAATTAATATAAATTAAAAATTAAAAGGAGCTCCCCCTATTAGAAAAGTATTACGATGATACGGAACCCTTCATGCGCGAGTCCGACTCGCACTTGACGGACTTTTATTTAAACCTAAATAAATTAATGCAATAGGGAGTCTGCGGTAGCTCGCGGATCTAGGGTAACGTCAGCGTATCCCGTGTAGGGTATCTACCACTGAACAAGTAGATGAGATGTTTGCCTCTGATTGAACGGGATTGATTTCTGTATGTGTAAATTTCAACATCTTCACGTTTTAAGTAAATTTCAAAAGAATCAATTTTCACGATTATACGGGTTGTGTTACAAGTAGGGTTGCCACCCGTACCTCTGCGCCACGGAGCCGTCAGTATATTGAGAAGTACAATTTCCATAAGGAGTATCATTTAATTGTACTTTGTCTTCATTTCGCGAACTTTTTACTTCTTTAACATGCTACTAACATGCTGCAGCTATATTATGGTTCCTGCTATAGCTATAAGTCGGCTCGAACAACAGCTTACTTTTACAGCCTACTAAAGTCCACTGCTGAACATAAGGCCTCCCCCTTAGATTGCCTCATAGGGGGGATATTTGCCATAGTTGTAATTTTACTGTTGATTTGAAAATTTCACCTCTCAGTCGGTCATGTGCTCCTGGTAGATTATCTTCTATACATCCATCCATTACAGCCTATTAAAGTGCACTGCTGAACATAGGCCTCCCCCATAGATTGCCTCATAGGGGGGATATTTGCCATAGTTGTAATGTCATTGTTGATTTGAAAATTTCACCTCTCAGTCGGTCATGTGCTCCTAGTAGATTATCTTCTATACATCCATCCATTACAGCCTATTAAAGTGCACTGCTGAACATAGGCCTCCCCCATAGATTGCCTCATAGGGGGGATATTTGCCATAGTTGTAATGTCATTGTTGATTTGAAAATTTCACCTCTCAGTGTGTCATGTGCTTCTGGTAGATTATCTTCTATACATCCATCCATTACAGCCTACTTAAAGTCCACAGTTGAACATAGGCCTCCCCCATAGATTGCCTCATGGGGGGATTTCGCCATAGTTCCCACGCTTGGGTGGGCGGGTTAGCAACCGTTTTATTTGTTATCAGGAAGATGCTGCTGATCTCCTTCCCTCTATCGCCTGTTTACACAAACGTGGCGATATGGGGTTGTGAATATTCTTACACCATTACACGGCTTAATGCTGCTGTACTTCACATGATGAGTGAGAGAACCTGGTATACACTTTGAAACAAAAAAAGAATTCTCCAAATCGGTTCAGGCGTCTTCGAGTAATCGGTGAACACGCATAGAAATATAGTAGCATCGGAATCCTCGGCGTCGACATATCGAATAGTGTGCAGTTTCGTGGTCACTTGGAAGGGAAGGCCAAATTGGCCTCTAAAAAGCTTGGCGTGCCCAGCAGAGCGAGAGAGTATTTAATGCCGGGACATCGCTTGCAACTTTACAAAGCGCAAATCCGGCGTCACATTGAATACTGTTCTCATCTCTGGGCCGGGGCACCCCATTGCCAACTCCTTCCACTTGACCGCATCCAACGCAAAGCGGTTCAAATGAATCGTCGACGACCGAGTTCTTTATGATCGGCTCGATACACTGGCACTGCGTAGGGATGTTTGCATCCCTTTGCATTTTTTATCGAATTTACCACGGTGAGTGCTCTGAGGAATTGTTCGGATTAATTCCAGCCGCCAAATTTCACGAACGCACATCGCGTCAAAATTCACGATACCATCCTCATCATCTTAACGCTTGGCGGTCCACGACTGTGTGTTTTACTTGGAGTTTTCTTCCTCGTACAACTTCTCCGTGGAATTGTTTTCCACCAGCGATTTTTTCGGACCGATACGACTTAGGGACCTTCAAGAAAAGAGCTTACACCTTTCTAAAAGGCCGGCAACGTATCTACAATTCCCCTGGTGTTGCGGTTGTTCATGGGCAGCGGTAGTCACTTACCACCAGGTGAGCCGCATGTTCGTTTGCCCCCTCTTCTATAAAAAAAAGAAAAATAAATATTCCGACTAATTGAGAACCTTTCCTCCTTCTTTTTTGAAGTCGGTTCAAAAACGTGGTAAAATAGCCTGTGGTAAATTATTCCACAAAGACGTCGTGCGAGGAAGAAAATTCCTAATTATAAATTTGGAGTAGCACTTGAGTAAAATAATTTCACAATATAAATGCTAAGATCGCCCGTAACTCGAATTTCGCAGTAATGTGCAATGCACACAAGAAACTAGGTCAATGGAAGCAAACCCAGACATGTTTATAGACTTGGTAAACACGAGTAAGCACTTCTGTTTGTAGGCCACTATACGAAAAGGTTTCTGGTGTGCAGTACGTTAAAATTAAAAAGTTAAAGTTACAGCCTATGTACGTCCCACTGCTGGGCACAGGCCTTCTCTCACTACAGCAGGGCTAGCACCAGCAGGAGACAATTTTATCCCCGGGGAAAGGAGAAAATGTTTAACCCCTCGCTTAGTTTTATCCAGCCTTCGAGCATGTGCCCATGCCAGTGGATGTAATATCCACAGCAGGAAAAATGGGAGGTAGAATTAGACTTAGGTAGATTTTTTGTATGAATATAAATTCAAACCCACGTCCAATGAACTAAGACAAATGAAAAGTCCCTTTCAAATGTCAAAAAACGCACAATTTTTTATCTTTCATTTGGCTCCATGCTACGGACGGGGGATATATGTCTACTTGTTATGTCAAACGGTCAATGTTTCTCCCCGTTGCCGTGCTTTGTCATAAGGACAAGATATTTATCTCTTGTCAGTAGATATAATCGGGGGATAGTTTTTTTGTCTCCAGTCCATGCTAGCCGTGCTGAGAGGGTTTTAGGGCAGGGTACAAGTGTCCGTCGCGCTGCCCCAATGCGTGTTGGCGAACTTTAATAATTTCTCAGAAATGCAGGTTTCGTCACGATGTTTTCCTTCACCGCCGCGAGCACGTGGTAAATCAGCACATAAAATTGCAATTAACAATTTCATTGGTGCCGGCGGGGTTCGAACCCGGGTTGCACGCGTACTGTAAAATTAACAACGAGTACTAACTATGTGAGCTACCACGGTGTCCGGTAATAAAATAAATATCCTCACACCAATTTTCCGTCACGGCTGCCTCCTCAACGGAGACTAGCCATCAGCGTAGGACAGAATTATAGTGCACGTGTGTGTGCGCAAGCACAGGTGCACTCTCTGTTGCCTCACTCTCATAGTGCGACGGGACGGTAAACCGACACGTCCGGAGAGAGATCACTCGCATGAGCAACGGCTTTACGTGCTTTCCTAGGCACGGGGGTGAGACAACGCCAACTTCCTGACTCCGAGCAGCTAATGACAATTTCTTGATGGAAAAACTCACTGATTTTTTTTGCCCCGACCCGGGATTCCAACAAATACACCAACGAAGCAGTCAATATAAAATAGATCTTTATTAACCTGTCGGAAATAGGGGGAATACATCAGAGTGTTGATTGTTAAAAATAATAAAACATGCGCGAGTGTCGTGGAACACTCCATTGGAACGAAATTCCTTTCGTAGTATATTATTATTGATAAACGTATTATATTATTGATTAACAAATACAAATAAATTAATTACTAGCGTCTATTAAAATGAAGCGTCATTTAAAATAAAATGATATTTCTTTCATGGCAAGATAAGAAAAAGTGTGAGGGAGATGGATATTGTTCCATCTCGCTCGCACTATAGAAAGGTAGGCGTGACGGAAATATCTTACACTTTTTCTCGCCTAGCCCCCATCCGTAAAATTCGTAGCGTGGGATAAGGGCATTCGTTT